CTTCTACTTAATTCAAACATTTCTAATCTTTTTTTTTCTGTTGACTATTTTGCATTCTGTTATAAACCTACTCTGTAATACATCTGTTGTGGTTCTGGTTCTGGTTATGACCTGCCCATACATAAACCCGGTCCGGACCCACCTTGTTGGACCTCTTGTCCGGTTTGGCGTAGTGGGCCGAGTAGCTGCAGGGCCCCAGAGTTCTGTAGCTGGGGTTGGAGAAGCAGCTGCTGCCGGGCGACGAGTCGTCCGAGGAGAGGAGTCCGGAACACGGCAGCCCTGCTTCGACACCAGAACATTGACGGCTCGGCTTCACACTGAAACACTGAACAAACCTGTGGCTCTGTGGAGGGAAACGGTAAAGCAGCAGAACAACGAGCAGCGGTTACCTGACAGCGAGTAGTCGGTGGAGTTGATGTGCAGCGCCGGCGTGTAGCTGACGTTGGGCACGTGGTGGCCTTTCTCCCGCTGCCGGTACCGGAACCACACCACCAGGCCCAGCATGGCCACGATGAGCAGCAGCAAGAAGACGATGCCCAGGACGGCGCCGGCCGACTGCCGCTCCGACACCAGCGCCGGGCTGATCTTGGTGTACGGGTTGAGCTCCTCCATCATCAGGGCGGCTGCACGGGAAGGTTGGATTTAACTGATGGACACTGATCTGATAAACACACTTAATAAGATGTGATTCATGTTCATAAAAACGTTTTAAATACTAAAAACATGTTTAGAAATATTCATTCAAAATATTTTTTAAAGACAGATTTTTTTCTGATTATAAATAATATATTTTCTTATACATGCAAGTAAATTAATGAAAGAAGATGAATGAATATGATATAGAAAATAGAATAAATATTTCATTATAATCACTCATAAATGAATAAATATTATAAAATTGTGCTTAAAAATGTTTGCCAAAATAATTTGAAAGAAATATGAATAAAATGTGTAATAATGTTAATTAAATCCTTGATAATTACACAAAAAAGGCACAAAAATGTCCCAAAAATACGAATAAAAACTCCAAAAACTGTGTTTGAAAAATGTGAGAAGTGAAAGTGACATTTAAATTCATTCTCATCACTGATGTGTGTATTTTTGTTGATTTATTTTCTGTTCAGCTACATTTTATTTAGTGCTGAACAGCAGCAAGCCTCCCTCTGAGACGAAGCCTTAAACTATTAAACTACTATTTAATTATTACTATTATGATTTAAACTATTGTTTTAGAGCCTCTTTATGCAGAAAGTTTTGTTGCAGGAAACACAAACTAAAACTTGTGGAGTCCGTCTGAGACTCTTTGATCTGATGACGCTCAGCAGCTTCCAGCGTTGGATTCGCTTCACGTGAAGACTCGGATCAGAAGCTCCGTCGTCTCACCCTGATCGCAGCGGATCCCTTTGAAGCCGACGCTGCAGTAGCAGGTTCCCGTCACGTAGTCACAGGTGGCGTTGTTCATGCACTCGCAGAGCTGCTGGCAGCCGTAGCCGAACGTCCCGGCAGGACACTCTGGAGAAGGAAAAAGACTGATTTAGTACAAGCTGAGGACAGAAAAACAGCTCTAATGTGTGTAAACACTGACAGAAAAATGTTAATAAATGATATTATACCACTTTTATAAACAATAAAATGTCCAAAACTTCTGTCTGAAAAGTGTTCAGAAACAAAAATAATATTAAAAGTTGCTGAAAACAGATTATTGATTAAAAAAAGATCTGAAAAAAGAAAAACTGCTAAAGCATGCATAGATTGGTCTGAAAAATATGAATAAATGTCATAAAATACTAATAAAATGTTAAAAAGTCCAAATATTTTTAAAGAAATAAAAAAAAATATAGATGTGAATTAATATAATTTTAAAATCTCCTAAAATGTTAAAAAATTATAGAAAGTACGTATAAATGTTATTTTAATTGAATGAATATTATATGATGTTATTGTATGTATTATAGATCGATCCGAATATGAATAAAATAAAAAATGGATATACCAACAAGCAAATACTATTATAATATAAATTACATCATCATGCATAAATAAATAATACATAAAAATAAATATCGTTAAAGGGATTTCAATATGAATAAAAATAATATTAAAATATTTTGATTAAATATTAAGGAAAGGAGAATTATTCATAATTTTGGGGGGAAATATTTTTAAAATTCCAAATATAATCTATAATATAATCCATAATAACATTTCCTTAAACTTTAAAGAATTTTAAGAAAAACACATTATATATATATATTATATTATATATTCATATTTTAATATAATGAAACCACGTAAACGTCTGAGTGCGCTGGTGGATCGCTGCTGCTGGAGTTCTAACGACACCGTGGTGCGGGTCACTCACTGAGCTCACAGCTCTGTCCGATGAAGCCGGTTCTGCAGGAACACTGACCGCCGATGTGGTCGCAGTCGGCTCCGTTCTGGCAGCGACACACCTCAGCGCACTGAGAGCCGAAGAAACCCGTCGGACAACCTGCAGCACAAACACATCCAGAGTTTTCCTCCGTTCAGCAGTTTGTGAGATGATCCAACAAACTGGACGGCGCCAGAAGCAGCTTTCGTTGATCTGATCGGTCACAGCGGATCAGAACCAGTTTCCTTCAGCAGGATTAACACCAACGTCCTCTTTGTTCTCTGATGCAGCAACTCAGACACCAACTAAACTTTCTGCTGGTCAGCGGAGCTTCAGACAGTCGGCAGGTCTGACAGGAAGAGAAACTCACCTGGTCTCAGGTAAGTGTGGCGTTAGAGTCCTGATTTAAACTCATGTTTGGTCTGATGGAGACTAGAGGCTTCTCTGACCATGAGGCATTCAGGGAACATCTGGAAACTGCAACATGAACTGATGAATGTGAGGCGTTTAGGGAACATCTGGAAACTGCACCATCTATTTATGACTGTGACGCGTTCAGGGAACATCTGGAAACTGCAGCATCTGTTCATGACTGTGACGCGTTCAGGGAACATCTGGAAACTGCAGCATCTGTTTATGACTGTGAGGCGTTTAGGGAACATCTGGAAACTGCAGCTTTATTTCCTTTTTTTTTCTGTACTTTAATGTTAATTTCTTGTTTTAATTTTGCTCAAACTTCACCAGAAGAGTTGGGATGAATAAAACACTTGTTCTAAAAACGTTCTGAGAAAGTTCTACTCATGTTTTTAGCTGGAAGTTGTTTTTCAGTTCCCAGAATGTTTGTCTTGAAGTTCACTAAAGACATTCGTCTAAAAACATTTTCTGAATCTGAGTTCTTCTTTGTTATCAGGGAACATTGCAGGAATGTTTTAAAGAAGACTGCTCTACCACGCTACGTAATCTGAGGCCTTAATAACATCTTAAAAACCTTTTTGTAACGTTGGTGAGAGTTTTGTCAGTATTATCCTCTGAATGCTGCGATTAAAACCTCACGGTAACGTTTGACCTCACAGGAACTTTATTGGAAACGTGGAAAACCCTTAAATTATTCTGTGCGCTTTAGGTGAGAACGTTTCCTTTAGAACATTATTAGAACCTGTAGGTAACGTTGTGGGAATGCTCCCTGTCTGCTGGGTAAAAGGCTTGTTGTGTTTCATGTTCCTGCCACTAGATGGAGCTGCAGGTTTGAGGTTTGAAAGCAGGAGAACTCTGAGTGCACAAGTGATGTGCAGCCACAGTGTGTATCAGTGTGTGTGTGTGTGTGTGTGTGTGTGTGTGTGTGTTGCGTTGTCGTACGCTGCGTGCAGTACAGTCCGGTCCATCCGGCGCTGCAGCTGCACTCCCCGTCCGTGGCGCTGCACTGGGCCCCGTTGTGACAGTTGCATGTGTGGATGCAGTCGGGACCCCACGAGCCCTGAGGACACGCTGACCACGACACAAACACACAGTTAGAGCTACGACTACACAACCGGACACACAACCTGTTCAACCTGCAGTGGAAGCTCTGGTCAGAGTCGATCAGGACAGAGACGGCCCGATCGAGTCTTCAGTCCCGACCTGACACCAGTCTGCTCGTCTTTAGTATTCTGCCAATACAGCGCACACTTTTAAAGGCATTCAAGTTATTAAAATGAAGCCGGTGTAAACGTTTGACAGCTGAGTCAGTGCATTCCTGCCTCCAGTCTGGTCCTTAACGTTCTGTTGGTGGAACCTTGTCGTACAGCTCCAGTAGAACCCTGTCTACATGTAGCGTTAGAGGGGAGGAACCTGAATCCTCTACATGATGTCAGTAAACGTATCGCAGACCAGCTGTAGTACCTGGTTGTTCCACCAGGTGGAGCCTCTCACTGTTTAACCCTGTAGAGACCAGACTACAGCTCATGGTGGCAGCAGAGAGCATTGTGGGAGTTTAGCAGCAAGTTTGAATGCGACAAGTCTGGAGTCGTTTCAGATCATTTTTAAGTAATTCTGGACAAGTTTCGAGTCATTTTAGACTAAATTTTGGTTTGAGGACATTTTGGTGAAGTTTTTTTCAGTTTTAGCTGTATGGTAGCGCAAGATAGCATTGTGGCAGTTTAGATAGCAAGTTTGGATGCGACAAGTTTTGAGTCATTTTGGACCATTTTTAAATAATTCTGGATCAGAAAAAGTGGAACCACGTGTTACCTCCAAAGGGAAGCTTTCATTTCTAGTGAACGGACGCTAGAAGAAAACTCACTATGTACAATTTCAGGAGGAGGAAACCTCTAAAAACTCAACTTGTTACTTATGAAGTTCTATTTGGATGGAATAAACCTTTAAAACTATAAATATTTAGACAGAAGACAGTATTTTCACTGGAACAAACGTTTTAACCTGTAAGCATCTGGACAGAGAGTCGTATTTTGGCCAGAACAGATCTTGAATCTTGTGAAATAAAGCTTTAAACCATGAGTACTTGGGCAGAATGTCGTATTTAGGCTACAATAAACCCTTTAAACTATAATTTAATAGTCAAAAAGTACTATTTGGGGGAAATGCACCTTAAAAATGACAAGTACTTGGACAGAAAGTAGTAACTGGGTGGAATCAACCTTTAAAGCTACAAGCGTTTAGACAGAAAGTAATATTTCGGTGGAACAGACGTTTAAAACTATAGGTCTAGTTCAGTAGGGGGCGCTGTTTCGACTAGCAACAGTCCTACAGCTGTGCTGACTGTTGGTTGATGACGCTGACAGTTATTGATTATTTCAACCTGTTCTGGACCGTTCTGACGCCTGTGAGACGTAAACTAAGAGTCGGACTGAAGACCCGATCAGCTCCAGCGTCTCCATCAGGACGTCTGGACTGTGGTTCAGGTAAAGCTGAGGGCTGAGTGACGGTTCTTTGGTTCCTACGTTTGGAGCAGTCGTCTCCCAGCCAGCCGGGGAAGCACTGACAGGATCCATCGATCGGGTTACAGGTTCCGTTGTTGGTGCACAAACACGACTCGCTGCACGATTTACCGAACTTCCCCCCAGGACACACTGTGGAGACACAAACACAACGGGTCAGCTGGTTTAGGACGGGTTTAGGACTGGTTTCACTGCTGCAGGACGGGTTTAACTGGTTTAGGACTAGTTTAGGAATGGCTTCAGTATTTAGAACTGGTTTAGGACTGATATCATAAATTTACGACTGGTGTCACTGGTTTATAACTGGTTCAAGACTGGTTTCACTGGTTTAGAACAGGTTTAGGACTGGTTTCACTGGTTTAGGACTTGTTTAGAACTGGTTTAGGACTGGTTTAGAACAGGTTTAGGACTGGTTTCACTGGTTTAGGACTGGTTTCGGACTGGTTTGAAACATGTTTCTGAGGTGATTTTGGGCTCATGTTGGACTTTGCTTTGGTTTCAGGCGATGACTTACTTTTGAACAGTTTTTAAACTCGGCTTTTGACTGGTTCTGGTTCTGTTTCAGTTTCAGATTTGGGTTTGCACAGGTTTTGGCTTGATTGTGGACTACTGTTTAATATGGTTTTGGACCAGTTTGGTAGAGCTTTTTAAATTGGTTTTGGATCAGTTTTATTTGAATTTGTATTCGCACATGTTTCTGGCCTGGTTTCTGACTTGGTTCTGAACTTGGTTTGGGTTTGGTTTTGGATGTGATTGTGGTCTAGTTTTTTACTTTTGCACACCTGTGAAAAAAAGGCTTTAAAATATTTCTTTGAATAAATTTATATTCAAATTGTGTTTGAACATAAACAGTCTGAAACTAGTTCTGGATTTATTTTGGATTTATTTTGTTTTCAGACCCAGTTTTGTTGTGGTTTGGGTTCAGGTTCTGAGCTCAAACTTTAAATGTCTCTTTGCATAAAAACACGAACCGTGTGTGAAGTGAAAGCTAAAGTCTGACTCATCGTTTTGTTCTGATCTGGAGCTTAAAAGCTGAAAGCAGAAAATGTGATGATGTTCACTCTGAAGACGTCCGGTTGCATTTTACAAACACTGAAACAGTGAAAACCAAATCTTTATTTTGTGATTCGTTAAACTCCGGAGGTGAAGGAGGCGACGACTCCGAGCAGGAACCTACATGTAAAAGGAACAAACTGGAGAAAAGATGAAAAAGACAGAAGACAATGAAAAGTGATTTGAGTCAACAGGAATCATCTGCTGTTATCTTCTCTCTCAGCTTATCTGCTGTTTGATGGAACTCAGGTTTCAGTTGTTGAACATCGTTTTGTGCGTCTTTGAAACGAAGCTGCTGCCAGAAATGAATCGTCGCCGCTGATTGTTTCTGACGCGATAAGCTCAGAAAACAGCAAAAGCATCGGACGCCTGAAAACGTCTTTATTCTGTTTCACATCGTCTCTGCAGCTCCTGTTGCTTCAGGACGCAATATCCCTCTTTTTTTTTTTTTTTTACTCTTATTCCACTAAATGTAGTTACGCTAATAAAATATTGAGACACAGATACTGTAGCGTCTGACAAGCCTGATAATATATTAATGCGCTCCTGGCTTTTTTGATTATTGCCAATTAACATGAGCGGGAACACTGCGAGGGAGGCTTCAGCTGGGATTTGTGGGATGATTAAGTTAAAGGAGAGTGTTTATACGACTTCATATGGAGTCAGCGCCGCTCCCTGAACGCGACAAACACCAGCAGAACCTGGATGTTCTGCTCTGGCACCGAGCTTGACCCCAAACTTTAAAGAGTTTCTTCCATTAACTGTGTTTATTTGCTGCTGCTAATGCCTCGGCAGCAGATAAATACATTATACATACATGAGGCGTGTAGATATTCATTATTTATACATTACTGCTCCCCGCTCATTTGCATTTTACTACATTCTCCACCTGTTGCTCTGAATATAATACGTGCATTAGGCCGTTGTGTTGCAGCCATTAGCCGGAGGAGGAAAACCCAGAAGGGATCTTTTTTTGCTGTGAATACGAGCCGGTAAACATCTTTAATGAATCCTCCACTTACGTAAGAGTTGCTGCTGTTTGACTGTAAAGTTCAGATCAAAGACCACGACGGACACGTGACGCAGATCAGGAGATAATTAAGAGGACGGGGATTGTTCTGTTTCCCTGGTGATGCTGGTCGTCTTTTAGCTTCTTTAAACGGAGGTGATGGCCCTCCTCTGCTCTACGCCTCGGTCCAGCCTGAAATGTCTGGAGGCTTTGTTTGCTTCTGCCTCGTATGAAGTCCTGCAGAACAACATGAGGACGGAGAGAGACCTCAGAGACGTCTTCTGTCAGCAGGACT